TGTGTGTACTGTGTATAAATACACATGCATTTTGGATTCACGATTAATCGTTTGACAGCACTATTTTAAAGCTAATGCATGTCATGTTATTTTTTATTTTTTTAAATACTTCTATTCCATCTTTAATGCAACTCTTCTGTAAGAACTCTGCTGATTACACTATGGCTTAATCAAACAATCTTTGTTTGTTTGATCAACCTGACCAACTCAACACAGCAACATTGGCTCAGCTAATGTTGTGACTTGAGATGAGAATATTTGTTTGTCTAGTTTGGCTAGTGGCACAGAAATTACACGCTTAGAAGAGTCCTGTTCACACAAGCTAATTCAAAAGTGAATTCCGTTTACCATAAATAACTGAGTTATTGTTAAGTTTGAAAAGTTGAGAACTGTGTAAGATGCCTGTATTTCTTACTCAGGTGATCGGAGGAGCTATCCAGATGAGCGCCCTCCACCACCCACATCACTGCCCCCTTCTACTCCTGTTGCGCCCCCTCGTGTGGAGAAGAAACCAGAGACAAAGAATGCTGAAGACATCCTCAAACCGCCAGGTCGATCAACTCGGCCTGACAGGGTATGCTACAATTATCTTCTGAATCTCCTTTTGAATAATCATTTTCTGAATACCATACTCACCGTTTTCTTCCTTTTCAGATTGTGGTCATCATGCGTGGGTTACCTGGAAGTGGCAAAAGTCATGTTGCAAAACTTATTAGGGTAATATGCTTTGTTTTGTCTCCATATTTGCTGCTGAGCTTAACTTGGCATATACTCGTGTAGAAACAAACCTCAGCCTTGAGGGTGGATAAGGGAGTTAATTTTAATGTCTTTATTATTGTTAGACTGTATGTTTTTCAGCTATAAACATGCTAACACACAAAATCAAGCTTGCATAGCTTGAAATGCTTGAGATGAGATCCTCTGAGCCGAAGAGACTGCATATAACCAAAAACTTGTTGATCTAAGATTTTCTATTTGCTTTTTTTTTTGCGCAATCTGCTTTGTCATTTTAATTAATCCATTAAGTAAATTTGCCTTTGTTGATATAGGATAAAGAGGTTGAGTGCGGTGGTGCGCCACCCAGAGTTCTTGGTCTAGATGACTATTTCATGACTGAAGTGGAAAAAGTTGAGAAGGACCCTGATTCTGGGAAGCGTGTCAAGACCAAGGTTTGATCTGTTCGACATTCATTTCAAATGAGAAATCCACTCACTTCCCTCAACTGATCGTGCTAAGCTTTCTGACCTTCTTCATCAGGCTCTTGAATATGAATATGAACCAGAAATGGAAGATACTTATCGAAGCAGCATGCTGAAGACATTCAAGAAAACACTGGATGATGGATTTTTTCCCTTCATAATCCTGGATGCCATCAATGATAAAGTGAAGTACTTTGACCAGTTCTGGAGTGCTGCTAAGACAAAAGGGTTTGAGGTGAGCTTCCTTGGCATTTCAACTACATTCAAGTTGTTGCTAGGAATGAATGGCAAGGCTAGTCATATATGTAGAGCTACTTTTTATCTCTACCTAACTGTACTATAACTTTTTTTTTATTCTCAGGTGTACTTGGCTGAAATCGCCACTGATCACCAAACATGTGCAAAGAGAAACATACATGGACGAACACTAAAGGATATTACAAAGGTAGTTTCTTTAACTTGATTTGTGTTTGGAGTTTGAGCCTGCCGTTTTTGTTCCGTTGATCAGCACAATTATATGATGTAAATGTTCAGAAGCCTGGCTAATGATATGCTTGTTGCACACAGCTGGCCAGTGGCTGGGAATCTGCACCACCCCATATGCTACGACTAGATATCAGGTCTCTACTGCAGGACGCTGCGATTGAAGATGTAAGTGTTTGATGACACCCATTATGCTCTTTAAAGGAATTGTAAATGTTTTTCTTTATGCTGGGTTCCTTCTCATAGTAACACAAAGTGCTTTGTGATAGGTGGAGATGGAAGACTTCAACCCATCTGAAGAAGAACCAAAAGCTGAAGTGAAACAGGAAGATGATGACGAGACTGATCTGGTAGGACCTCTCTTTTCATGCATGCTGCTTTCATCTAATAATTGAAAACTGTGATTTTGTAGTTACTTTAAACATGACCCCCAAAACAAGGTAAGTATTCAAAGCATGCATCAAAGTCACAGGATACTCTTTCTCAATCCAAGTTGATAAAAGTGAAACAAATAAAAAAAAATATATATATTTCTGTGACTGGGCTCTCCGGGGCTATTTGTTATAATTGCAATCCATATTCTTATTATGGATTATTAAATGCTTTCACAATCAAATATATTGGCAACAGCAAACGTCACTAAAGGCAGTGACTTGATTTTTTTTGAAGTGCTTGATCACATTTTGCTGAAGTCTTTAAATACCCTGTAACTGTATATATATA